ACACAAAGTTTCACAATTTCTTTCCAAACCATTTTGTAGAGATTAAAAAAACAGATCATTTCGTATATTGAAGCGTTATTATGCGCCTAATGGTTAAGGAGAAAATTCAAAAAAATTGTAAATTTAAAATTCTTCCATGTTATTCTTACAGTATGGATAATAAGTCAGTCAACTGTTGTAGTTTGCTTGTTTATGAACATATTTTGATCAAATTTGGAAAATACATAAATTTCTTACTAAACTACAATATTAACACTTTACAACAAAAAACACTTACCCTCCCTGTTGCAGCAAACCTAAGTACTCGTTAAACTAATTCTATTAAATAGGGAATAAATGTGATATTTTTAAGGAGATATTTTAGTGTAAATCCAACAGAAAGAACATAAAAGAAACGTCTTATAACACTTAAAATGTGATTATGAAATTATAACTTTTTTTAAGTGTTATAAGACGTTTCTTTTATTTACCTTCCGTAATTTTAATAACACGTACAATGCTGATCAAGAAGTTATTTTGTAAATCCAACCACGCAAATGGAAATTCGCTAAGTCTGCAGGTTTGCTGCGGCAGGGGTATTTTTAAAATTGGCACAAATTTAGTAAATAATAAACAAATCTGAGTAGCCTAATAATTACTACAAATAACTACTGTATCCAGAAACTTAAACTTTAAAAGGATTTTTAAACTGGGTTTGTATACGTTTGAGGTAATGTAAAACTCTATCAACACTTGGAATAAAATTAGCCCAGTTTGCACAATTTGTGCATGTTGTTAACCTCCTAAATCTGTTCTGTAAAGATGGTTTATTTCAGCTAAAGGCCATGATTTTTCTATTCTTTCTATGAGTTAAAAAAGTTTATTAAAATATGACAGGTAGTTTGGTAAAATACATTTTTAGGAGTTAAAAAAGTATTAATGGTTTGAATGAGACCAATTAGGAAATACAACTTACTTAGACATGGACTCAAAAAGATTGTTATTGCTAGACATTATTTCCATGATGCAAACAAAACGTTCTGTTGAAATTGGCAATACAGTACAGTTAACAGAGTGGGTTCACTGATATCAATGTAGAGATAAGAAACAGCTGTTTCCCTCTGCCAATGCACTTATGACTAACAACAGCTGAGTGCATTTACTAACCTATTACTCAACATGAGTTGCTTTTAATATCACTTCAACCCAACTTATCATGTATTTATATTGTTTAAAACTTATATCTTCTTTACTATTATATAAAAATCTAATGGTGTCTGTATGTATGTGTGTTACTAATAGGTACAAAAACTACAGAACCAACTGGGCTTAAATTTTACAAAAATATAGCTGCCATACCAAGGACCATTATAGGACTATTCACATTTCGATACTGACCGTAGGCTTTGCCCCTTTGGCTTTAAAAGTTCTGAGGTGAACATTTTAAAAGTAAATATTGATTGGTCTCCATGGCTGCGATGAGAACCCTAACAATGTTTGTTTACATTTGCTTTGACATTTAAATGTAAACAAGAAGAACTGCTAAACCAAGGCGTCAGACAGCTGATACAAAGAAATTAAATATAATATTTTCCATAACTATGGGGTGGGTTTATTTTAATCTAACCTTTTACCATGGATTATTTATTCTAAAACTATGTCAATGATCACAGAAGAAAAAAAGATTCTATAACCGTTGCTGCATCAACTCCGGCTCTGCTTTGGATATTTTAAAGCGTCTAAGTTATGAAAATAATGTTATTGATGTTTTCATGGAAACATTATGAAAGTTACAATGTATAGATGTTTTGTATGAATTTGAAGGCTACTTGAAATAAATTCTAACTGCTTAACATGTGTTAGATTAACTTAACATAACTTGCACATCACATTGTTTTTATATGTATATTTAAGCCGTATTTTCCTAGCAACACACTTTCTACGTGGCGTACAACGCATTTTTTGCGCTACCCAGTCAGACACAGCAGACGCTACTGATTGTTTTCCTAGCAGCGTCACTCGGTTGTGCGCCGGCGCAGGATGAGCGACGCAACAGGGTGACTGGGACCAGACCAGTCAGTTCAGTTGTACGCCGCAAATCACAGCAATTTGTTTTTGCTGCACATGTTTGATGTTATACAACTGTGTTTTTGTAATAAAATTGGTTACTAGTAAATCTAAAATAAGCTTTGAATTTGATTTCATCGTCTCAAAGGTGCTTATGTATTAACAACTGAAACACACCCTTGTCTTCTCTAAAATTGTACACGTCACTGGTTTTACTTCTAACTGAACAATACTTTTTCATTATAACATTAACTTCTTCATCAATCTCGTCTAAACACTCCTTTAATACCAAAGCACATATTTGTTTTCTCTTCTGCAAGCTCATCTTGAAGCTATCTTGCTAATTACGCAGCTGTACTGAACATTTCTAGGAGAACACTTGTACGCCGCGTATTATATGTACGTTATATGTCAGCGTTATACGTTGTACGCCACGTAGAAAGTGTGTCGCTAGGAAAACACGGCTTTAGGTAAATTAAGTTATTGTGTTTTGCTAAACCTATGCTTAAATTAAACTAAAGAATATCATCAACAACTAAACTGTACTTGATTTTTGTTTTCTAAAATCTGATGTATATGTGTAACTATATTATCAAATGGTAATACAAAATACTCTTATTTTATCTTAACTTAACATAGCTTTCAGTTCACATTTACTTTTTCCTACAGTTACCAAACAATGTACATGTTCTCTCACTGATTTGAGAAAGCAAAGAGGCCAATTCGCTCATCAGTGAGACAATGTTAACATTGTCTCACTCTAATTACTTTGTCTCACTCACTCCAGATTTGCAACGTGAAGGCACGAAATAGTGAGCGTGTAACATGCAGACAAGGTCGTATGCCCGCGAAATACATTGGCAGCACTGGCTGTAAATCAGCTGATCAGCTTGTTGTAACTGTTGTATCATTAAATGTCATATTAAAAGTTCACTTCTGTGTAAAAATATGTCACGTTTCTTTACCAATTTATTTTTTTTATGGTAACTGTAGTAAAAATATAATGTGCAACTTGAGTGCAAAGTGCAATTGACTCACTCGAGAGAAATACTTACTCACGAGCCGTAGGCGAGTGAGGAATAGTTGCTCGAGTGAGTCAATTGCTCCCTTTGCTCACTAGTTGCACAAATAACTATATTTGATACATTTATTATTTGTGTTTTGCCACACCACTGATTAAATTAAACCAAGGAAAATATCATAAAACTAAGCAGTATACAGTGTTCTTTTGTTTCTAAAATCAATGAAATATCTGTTACTATGTTTACTCAATGGTAAGTGTGAAAATGTAAAGGCAATGGACGATGGAACTGATTAAAAAAACTGGTTAAGTTGTTAAGTTGTTTGTTGATATTTTTGTAGAAAAAATCAGAGATGCAATGAAACATATACTGTATAGGCACCACAAAATAAGAAGTATAGTATCATAGCAAGCGCCTTCCGAAAAAGGTATAATACATGGGAAGTGCAAGAAGAAGTACACTGTCTTTCTTCTAACGGAAGCACCAGAAGAGTAGATATTTTATTTATCGAAAGAGAAACTAACAAAGGCATAATTCTCGATCCTACAATTCGATTTGAAATAAACATAAATCAAGCTAACGAAGTAAATGAAGAAAAGAAAAAAAATTATGATTCTACCTTTAAATATTTCAAGCAAAATTTTAAAATTTCGAAAATTAAGGTGATTTGATTGTTCATTGGTTCTAGAGGAACATTATCCAAATTTTTTGTGAACTTTTGGAAACAATATGATTTGGACAGATCCTTTTTGAAAATTATTATTCATGAAACATTAAGAGGTTCATTGACCATAATGAGAAATCACATTTATTTATTTTTGTTTATATGGCAAACATCAAAATTAATCAGTCTTATAGCTGTATAATCCTTCGATATTTTATGTGTACTATTTTTCTGTGTCATTGGCAACCTTATTTTTTAAGGCAGAGGTATTCATTTTTATAAATAAATTCTTTTCTCTCTATTACATTTTTTAGTCCTTGATGCTTTGATAATCATATTACTTTTGTCTGCTGTCTTTAATGCTAAATTATTTGTTTAAAATTTTTTATAGAACCTAGATATAGTTTCTTTAATATTTCAAAAGACTATTGATAAGGGACAGCAATATTTCTTAAGTTTATATCAGCTGACTTAGTTTTGCTAATGATTTATTGTTAGTGAAGAAACTGAAGATGGAAGGATTTGTGATTTAATATAAAGAAGAGTGAAATTAAAAATAATGTTCATTTAAATTTAATAATTAGTATTTTTGCAACTTCAAAATTGTAATTTAAAATGTCAATAATGGGGTATGTAATTAAGGGATATGAAGGTAGGCTAAATCATGTATATCAAAGTTTTATTCGAAGATTGGGTCAGTTTTTCTCATATCAGCCTACACAAGATTTAAAATTAATCAAAACCAAAATGGTGGTATCCACTACTTACCAGATTTAAAAGTCATAACTTAAACGTTTCTATTAAGGCTATAAAAGTTGAATTTTGTTTCTAAAAGCATTGGCGGATGTGTAACTATTATATGCAACAGATGTAAAGATTAAAATGTTTCTATTTTGTGTCCTCTTCCCGTTGCAAAGCACGGGTACAACAGCTAGTATATAATTTAACTTATATATAATTTAAGTTTTAAGAGTGATTTGATAACATTTTAAAATTATTTATAGTTTAGGTTATTTTAAAAATGTTAAATTACACTGATGACATTGGAAACCAACCATTCGGACCTAATATTTGGAATACCCTTTATTTGAATCCCCCATATTTCGCATTAAGTTACCCTGTGGTCAAGTACAACAACCATTTGAAATGTCTCTTAAACGTAAAAAAATGAATGTAGTGGTTTAAATTGTTCTGAAAATTGCATAATGATGTTATTGTATTAGAGATGAATAGTAGTATGATAAGCCACTTTAGCAATAAACACTAACCTGAATATGGCCCATTGTAGATCTTGATCTTTGCTTTCTTTCTGTGATGTTTTCTTTTGCATCGTCATCTTACGATTTCTGTAATCAACTATCTTCTTGTGTATTTCAAACTGAAATTTCTTCACCCTGAAAATTATTAGAAAAGGCTTTTTATTCCCAAAATTTAGCCTTAGACCTACAAGTTAAGATTAACTGTAGTAACGGTCTTGCTTCGCTGTTGGGTTTGTAATACTAAATGTGTGGTTTAGTTGCAGTAGTACACAGTATAGGTAGCCTATGGCTGCGTTTACATCGGAGGCATGGTTGGGCAAGTAAAATGGTGGTGCATGCTTGGCCAAGCTTGCCCTTTGAAACAAAATTGTATCAGATTATTGGAAATCTGTGGCAACTTGTCCAGTCATGGGCAAGTACTCGCCACTAGCAAGCGCTCGCAGGGACAAGCTTGCGCCTCTCAAATCGCAAAACTTTTTTGAAGCAAGCGTGCCCCAGTTGGCTGTGGTTCACTGACAAAGTAGCATCTGTTGTGTATCTGGAAACTGTTGTTTTTTTAACATTTAATTGTTGTAATATATTTAATGACCTTCATATGAAGCGGCTAGACATATTGAATGGCCTGAGGATGACTCCCATGAGAGTCCAAACCGGTTGCCATACCACAACACTTTGATTGCATAAATGCATGTATTTTACACCAATTAATAAATTATTGCTTTTTAGTTAAAACAGTCGATTGTTTCCGACTAAATGTTTGTTCCTTTGTACTTTAAAGATCGTATATTAGTTTGCTAATCAGCTCATAATTAATGGTATGATTCTTTGTTCAAATCTACGTTGTTATCTTGTGACCATCATAGCAACCCTTAAAAATTTAAAGAATTTAAGTTAATTTTAAACTGTACTAGCGTTATCAAATTGAAATTTATTAGTTAAATAACACGTTTCCTATTTGTCTAAATAACTGCTTTAAGTTTGGCTTCGTCTAGACAGGGAAGAGGCTGAACTGATTACAGACCTCCATTTCCCTGATACACAGCCAAGTTTGTTTGCACGTGGCACCAACGGTAACTTTAAAAGACAATGTTCGTCTGACTAGCACACCTGTGTTCATTAAGGTTGTGAATTTCCTGATTATCGTCCACTAAAGATGAGTAGGGCCTAGACAAAGTCACACAGCCACACAAAAAAAGTCCAGTGGACATATGCCAACAAACCATACCATATGACCTATCATTATCATTATTATCATCCAAGTTGTGTATTTTGCATTAAGTAAATCTTGCACATCGTTTGAATGTACCATAAAACTAACACTGTAAACAATATTTAATTTTTCTCAATAATAAAAAATAAACCCTAATTAAAGATTTATCACAAAAACATAGGTTCATAAGGTTGTTAATCCTGACAATTCCTCAATATTTTTATTAGAAATTTTACAAGGATTCTGAAAACTGCAATAAACTCCATTTAAACATTATTTTTAATGTAGCTGTTGCATTATTATTTAAGCAAATACATGTTTTTATACAGGAAATTAGACTTTGGCCGTTCCGTATTTTACAAAAGAAACTCTTAAATTTAAGATTTAAAAAGCAAATAAACAGTAAATTCTTATATATAATTTTAAAGGTTATCAATCAAAGAACTTTTTGGTTATATTTGACACTCTCTATATTCCAGTTTAACATAGAAAGACTTATTTTAAGGTTTTTGCATTTTTCTCAAAAATCACAAATTTAAACTTCTATTAGAACAAATGCTTATACAAATAGGCTACTTTCATCTCAGTGACTCTGTACTATTACAATTGGAAATTTAATGAGGATTCTGAAAATTTGGAATAGACGGGTCCCGAAATTTTGAGAAATTTTCGGGAAAAAAATATTCCCGATTTTTGGGACGGGACTACATATGATTCGGGAATTTTTCAGGACGGGATTTGATCTGATCGTCGGCAATTTTGCCGCTTCGCGAGGGACGATGACGCCGCTATCGCAAGAGATGTTCACGATGTCCGCAAATGCAGGAGGCAAAGTCATTTCGACAATCGCACCATAACCGCAAGTCATTTCATACCAACGATCGCTCCGTGACGGCAAAGTCATACCGACGATCACGCTGTGACCGCAGAATCATACCGACAATCACGCCGTGACCGCGGAGCCATACCGACAATCGCGCCGTGACCAAGGAGTCATACCGACGATCACGTCGTGACCGTGAGTCATACCGAGTTACAAGCTGCTATACCTGTAAATCTTTATCCATTTTTTTGTTTTTATAGATCAGTGCCACAAATGGTAAAAATTATTTTTGTTTGCCTATTTTGGTAAATGCAATACCTACTCACAGATGATCTCACAGGGCTCTGGTAACTCAACAAACACAACTAAGATGGTTTCGTCTGATTGTAAAGCACCTGGAGCTGACGGCCAACTTACAAACCAGATGTCAACACATGGTGAAGAAGTTAAAGTGGTGCCCGGCGACCTCACATACTGTGAGGCGTTAAAGCAGAGCAGTGATAAAAGTGTCGTGAGTGATAGTTTAAATATAAGCAATAGTTATAGTTCGACCCAGTCCCCTTCAACTAATCAACCACACCGGATCCTTCCTGACCCTAAACCGGATTTAAACTCTTCGCCGACAGTTTTCAAGGATCCAGACTAAAGTTTTAAAATCAAAACGCAACAAAATAAACACATTTTCAATTTTTCATCAAAATATTCAACATTTAAATTCCCGGAAAGAACCATTAGAAGTTGTTTTAGAAGAAATTAAACCCAATATAATTGTTTTGACCGAACACAACATGAAAGAAAATGAAATAGAAAGATTTAATTTAACTAACTTTTCTGTTACTTCTGCATACTCTCGTACAACCACCTCTGGTGGTGGCGTGATGATTCTGTCGGAGAAGAGTTTGAACTCAAAACCCCTAACCTTAAAAAAAGTTGATGAACTGACCGAGGACAAGCTTTTTGAGTGTTGTCTGGCTAAATATAGAATAGAAAAATGGTCTTTTGTGCTGGTAGGAGTTTACAGAAAACCTCAATTACAAACATTAGAATTTTTAAGTAGATTAGATAGGTTAATTGAACTTTTAGTTTCTTTAAAAGACAAAGTAAATTTTGTTATTGCTGGAGATTTTAACCTTAATGTATTAATTACAACAAATGAAGTTCAAACTTTCAAAAACATCCTAAGAAGCTACAATTTTAATTATTTAGTAAATTTTCCTACAAGGGTAACCAGTAATACTGCCACAGCTATAGATAATATTTTGACAAATATAGATAAGTCATTGACACATGTTACTGGAATCATAACATCTCTTTCCGATCATGATGGACAAATTTTAGAACTAACATTACCCAAATCTAAGAAATTAAATTTGCCCAGTGAATATGTCGAATGTAGAGATTTTTCAGATAATAATATGAATATTTTTAAAAATATTCTTTCCTATGAAAACTGGCTTCCATTATATTTATCAAAAGTAGAGAATAAGTTTGATGTATTTAACAACATTTTTCAATATAATTTTAATTTAGTTTTTCCAAAAAAGAAAATCAAAAGATACTTGTATAAAAGGAAAAGTAACTGGATTACTAAAGAGCTGATGATGGAGAAAAAGGATATAGTTGAACTATCAAAATATGCTAGACTTAGTGGTAATGTTGATATAATTAATTACTGTAAATTAAAAGATAGAGATTACAAGAATAAACTTGTTAAGGCTAAGAAAACTTTTTATGATACAAAAATTTAAAAATCTGAAAATGTCTGCAAGAAAACCTGGGAGATAATAAATGAAGAGACAGGAAAAAATGTTAATAGCTCAAGAGGAGCAATCAATGTAATAAAAATAGATGGTGAAGCTGTATGTGATCCTCTGAGCATCTCAAACTTGTTTAATTACTACTATATTAATGTAATAGATGATCTTGTTCAGGATACCTCAAATAATTCAATGTTGCCCAATGGAATAAATTTACAGGATAACATAAATCATATTGAAATCTTGAATCCTTTTAAATGTAAACCAGTTGATGAAGCAGAGATTGAAAAAATTATTTTGTCCTTAAAAAATAAATTATCAAGTGGCCACGATGAAGTTCCTTTAAAGTTAATTAAAAATACAGTAAAACCCTTGTTAAAGCCATTAGTTCACTTAGTTAACAGTTCCTTAATAACCGGAGTTTTTCCTCAAAGTTTAAAAATGTCCAAAGTAGTGCCCATTTTTAAGAAGGGTGAAAAAACTGAAAGAAGTAATTACCGTCCTGTTTCTGTCTTACCTGCTATTTCAAAAATATATGAGCGGGTGATGTATAATAGATTGTTTGAGCATTTACAAAATAATAACCTTTTAGACGAAGAACAGCATGGTTTCCAAAAAGGAAAATCAACCACTTCAGCTCTGCTGAGGTTTGCGGAAACAATAATTGAATCTATTGACAAGGGGGATAAGGTAGCCAGTGTCTTCATGGATTTGTCAAAAGCATTTGACAGCGTGTCTCATGAAATACTACTTTAGAAGCTTAATGTTTTGGGCCTGCCAGATGTTCCTTTAAAATGGTTTAGATCATACCTCTCCGATAGATCTCAGTATGTTGAAATAGTTTCAAAAAAAGGAAACCAAGTCGTTAAAAATAAATCACAAACATTAAAAATTAAACATGGAGTTCCTCAGGGATCTATTTTAGGACCATTATTATTTCTCTGCTATGTCCGTGGAATGCCCTCAATTTTAAAATCAAACATAGAAGCCAAAAGCCAGTTACTATTGTACGCAGACGATTCAAACCTAATTATTTCAGCTAAAAATTACCAAAATCTTGAACTGGCCTGTAATGAAAATTTGAGTAAAGTTCAATCATATTTTCTTAAAAATAAACTTTTTTTAAACTGTCAAAAAACCAACCAAATCGTTTTTTCAGCCTCACAAAGAAAAGAAACAATAGAACCAAACATCCTGGTTGGAAAAGAAAAAATAGAAAATCTAAAGCATACTAAATTTTTAGGGCTTTACGTAGACACATATTTTAAATGGGATTATCATACACAATTCATAACACAAAAGATTTCTTCAGGGTTATATGTTTTGAGGCGTATGTCACTATTATGTAGCCTGGACACCCTAAAATCAATATATTTTGCGCATATACATTCCCATCTGTCTTATGGTCTGGCAATCTATGGAGGAACATCTAAACAAAATTTAGATACAGTTCTGAAACTCCAAAAAAAAGCTATAAGAATCATGCTATACTTGGACAAACGAATAACTGTGAAGGATAAATTTTCAAAACTACATATTTTGACTGTCTATGATCAGTATATAGTAGAATGTATTATGTGTGTCAAAAATCAACTACACAATTTGGAAATTAGAAAAAATGTCCATTCATATGACACTAGAAATAAGAATGATATAAATTTATCAAAACATAACCTCAGCTTCTTTGAAAAAAAGGGAACCTTTATGGGATCAAAATTTTTAAACCATCTTCCTACAAAATTAAAAAGTAAAATAAACCAAAATAATTTCAAAAAACTAGTTAAGAATCATCTGTTGCAAACGAGTTATTATTCATTTGAAGAGTTTTTTCAATGTAAAAACGACTAAATAAATAAGGTTGAGGTGCTCTGATGGAAAAAATAAAAAATGAAACTGTAAGCGGTTCCTACTTTTCTGTAAATCGAAATCAAAATGCATACAAATTAGTTATAGTCTGACACTATTCATGTATGTATATACAATATGAATAAAGAATTTTTGATTTGATTTGATTTGATACTCAAGACTTTCTTTTTATGCACAGGAAAAAGTCCCATCCCAAAAATCGGGAAGGAAATAAAAATCCCGTCCCGTCCCGAACTAAAAATTCAATCCCGTCCATCCCAAAAAAAAAACAATTTTTAGTAAACTTATATATATTTTGAAATATTTTGAAAAAAATCTTAATTTGTCTGTTATTCCCTCCCTACCTGTGAGGGTATGGAAATCTAAATTAGTGCCGTTTTGTCACCAATACTAAGTAGTTTTAACACATAAAAATGTTTGACACTAACTTTGTTCCACCCTGTATATAATGCAAAGGGGCGCTACAACTATTAGTTGTGCCTAGGGTGCTGACAGGGTCAAAAACGGGCCTGAGAACAGTATGGCTATGGTATATGTGCAATACAAATCTTCTCAAACTTCATCCTCCCCCATTGCAAACGCAAAGCACAAGTATAACTACAATAATCATTTTATACTTATAAGCCAACCCCGTACAAATAACGGGTACTCTGCTAGTACCTATAGCCTATATATTAAAAATAAAACAGGCCCAAGTGCACTGCCTTAAACCACGCCATAATTGCTGGCTTGAAGAAATTAAACTAATTGGTATTTATAGGCCTACTTGTCTCTTAATTAATACTCAAAAGAGATATTGGCCTGTTATTATTCATATTGGAAAATTCATTGGATTTATAAAGAGGAAAAACTTTAGCAAGCTTACTTAATTAAGGGGGTAGGTATCATAAGCAAAAAAAATTTATAATTTTTTATTTATTTTTGGTTTCAAATCAAAGCTTGATGAACAAAATCACACCTTGCTTATGGTTCTAAAAAAATTCCTAACCTTAGAAATGTTTTTTTTTATGAAACCTTACTCGGTAGTTTATCCTTAAATTTGAGTACCTAATAATTAATCTAGTGATCTCGAATTGTTGTAATTATACAGGAAATATAAGAGATAGAACCATGAAATTTTTACAGAATATATTTGAACCTATTTCACAGAAGTGGTACCAAATTTATTAACACGTTCGCTGCTACGGACATTCTGGAACGTCAGCCGGGCCACGGCGCCAGGAGCTAGGAATGTTCCGGAAAGTCACCATTCATTGTTGTTTCACGTTTCCATGGATTAGCCAGCACGCCACGAGCGTCCAATATTTCTTTGCAGCTCGTGGGGACGTACTATTCTGACAATAAAAAAATATAGTTTCCCAAAATCATCACCTGGGTCGTTTAGAACAGGACTTTGTCCCACCTCTTTCCTGCTAGATAGCGACACTACTTTACCTACTGCAACCTGGGTAGTGCTGCTATCTATCAGAATCACTTAGTACTATGTCCAAAGCCAGTTTAATTGCAGAAAATTGCCATCCAGTATAACTACTGTACTGTAGTTTTTAGTGTAATTCAGTGTATCGGCGGCAATGTTACGCAGCGGCGAGCGCTATAGTGGAATAGATTACAGAATAGGACCGGAACCAGTTTGAGTCGGGTGGGGTGAGGGCAAGCGGTATCCAATAAGCTTTCAGAAAACTGTCCACTGTTGCCAAGTTGTGCCACGCACTCAGTCTTTCTTTGCCCGACAGCCGACCTGTGCGTTTCGAGCATATATCCTATCTTGTTTAGTCAAGAAATTGCCTTAAAGCACAGAAAACATACTACTATAACCCAGAATGCCAACCGCATGGTAAAAAGCATTAAGTGTTTTGAGAGAGCTTTGCCTGTTTATCGTAGGCAGCGCCACCAGCGTTGCCATGCACTCAGCATAGCAACGCTGGTGGCGCTGCCTGCGATTGACAGGCAAAGCTATGTCAAAACACTTAATGCTTTTTACCATGCGGTTGGCATTCTGGGTTATAGTAGTATGTTTTCTGTGCTTAAAGTGTGTTAATAATTCGAAACAGGCCAGTAACAAAGCTACAAAAGGCATCTCACTCCATTCTACACTCATATTTAGGTTAAAATACGCTCATAGGTGGCGTCCCTATGATCAATGAATAGGCCTAATTAATATGGTAGATTGTATCCTCTTCATTTCCATGTTAATTTTGTTTCATGTATCAAACAATAAGCTGAGCAATATCTTAGAAGATTTTTAGAACTGCTATACAAATTGTTTGGTAATATAAATTTAGTGTTAAATTTATTAATTTTATGTTTATATATTTTTCAAAAACTGCATCTGGTAGCTGTTTGAGCCATTTTAAAGACAGTTGTGTAGCAAATAATCAAACCATAATAATGTATGGGATGAATTTTGTGTTCCATACGATATAACAATACTAACCAATACCACCAAGAACCAATAAATTATTAATTTGTAGTGTTGAACTGAACTACCCTACAAGTGGGACAATAGAGGGGGGTGCCGGGCTCTAGGTGAAAGTCAGCTCACCGGCCAAGAACGAAGTGGCAACGTCGCATCCCCTACCTCTTCAAAGGCCAGTCCTATTCTGTAATCTATTCCACTATAGTTCAGCTCCTGGCGGCGTCCCGGCATCTAGCGGTCAGCAGCGAACATGTTAATATACTCTACATAAAAAAATTTTACTGTATTTAACTGTATACACACAAAAAATTTAAATTTAAGGTATGTTTTTGAAAAAAAATATGTAGACATTAAAATGTTATTGAAAGTAAATAATACACACAAAAAGGTTAATTTAAGGTATGTTTTTGAAATAAATATGTAGACATTAAATATTTTATTGAAAGTAGGCTAAATAATTTTGGTACATGTTTTAAATAAAATCATGAATATTACCTTAACAAAATTCGGGTTGATAGCTCTAGTGGAAATGGGACATTAAGGTTGTCAATTTTACATTGTTACCATAGAGCGTATGATTCCCCCTTAAAAACTCAAGAAATGTATCAGTATCGGATGAAATGCTCAAATGTATTTACTTTTATGTAACAGTGGTTTGCAAAATATATGGAAATTGGCTTTTAGGACTTCGGTTGAGATAGCATCGCACCCAGGTTGTTTGTTACATTTGGATGATTACCAAACGATTAAAATAATTTATTAGGCCTACTCTTAAAATATTAGTGTTAAATAGGCTAAAGCTGTCAGGTTCAAATTTCTCCCATGTCCCTTTCTCAATAGTTTCAGAAAGTTTTGTACAAACAACTAAGTTGCGTTACCAGTACCGTACTATTTAAGTGACAACAAAATCTAACATTGTTGGAAAATTGTAGGAAGGGATCCTCTAGTGTAGCAAAGTTTTAATCTAAACTTTTTGTCATCTTCAAGAAAAGGTAATTAAACTCTGGCCAGTTATAGCATGAACTCAACAGTTTACTTACTGTATAACGTCTTCTTGTTTTTTGTGATACTCGTACTGTAACTTAAGTGCTTCTAATGCTCGAGTCACTGAAGTCAACTGCATAGCTTGAAGTAACAGTTCAGCTGCATTTTTGTGGCAATTCACTGCTTCATCAAAGCGTTTGTAAAGTATATGGTTGTCTGCTCTTCTATCATTAAAATGAGCCTGTAATTTGTCACAGGTATGAGGACAGACTTTTAATGTAGGTTAAACTTAAAGTCCTTTGAGTATTAAGTCCTTTGAAAGTAGGTTAGATTAGGAAGGTAAAGTTTAGGTTATAATGAATCGAGTTGTTGATTTATATTATCTCCAGACATGGCCCCTAGGCCCAAATAATATTCCGCCCCATAGTCTGGTCACAGTCACTTTCCTTCAAACCTTTATTAAAAACTATATCATGTCCCCTAGGCATAAGTTAAGTTAATTGCTTGAATACCACTCCTTGTCGGAATTTATCATTGCAAATTGCAAGTTTTTTGAAGAATTGACTTGTTTAGCCTTAACGAAATGCCGTCTTAAAAACTTATAGCAATTTTATGCTTTTAGTAAATGCTCACATTTGTGAGAGTGGGACTGAAACGAAACAAAACAACTCAACCCACCGAGCATTCCACAGCAAAAAAACATGGCCAATGATTCCAATTTCAGGCCCAAAAACGTGAACTCCATACATTACATGATACCATAGATTAAACAAACACCTTTAGTAGATTTGTCATCATTATGGATTACCTAACTGAAAACAATTCTTGTTATTTAAACCTAGTTTATCCTAAATAAAACGACCTAATCATAAACAATAGGTCGTCTCCTGGTTATATTACTGTACAAGAAATTAAAACAATAAAACACACATCATAGAACTAACCCTAAAATAATAGAAACAAAAGTATGTCAAAACTAACGTCCAGTGTCACAAACAAACAAAAATGAATTAAGAGTGTGATAAGAAGTTGACTTGAGTTATATTTATTTAATCTATGGTGGTACTGCATCTAGGTTATATTTCCAATGCAAAACAGAAAAATATTCCGGCCAACCATACCGATCCTTAGGTATGAGGAGAAAATGACAGCATTAATGGTGCTTTGGAGGGTATTGAATTTTTCTAAAACCAATTGCAAACTCAGTTTAATATTTTTTTGTTAAGTTTTAAAGATAAATTCATAATTTTTCAAATATTCAACACAACGTATTATATATTTTAACTTGATCCTGCAGATTGTTAAAACTAATCAAAAGATTAGTTAGCATAATAACTTTTGTTTTGTTAGGTAAGGGTGGTAACAGTGTCTAGCACGCATGCGCCCCTAACCAGTCCGATTAGTAGCTAAGTAGTCCGAGCCACCTAGTGGCAGTGCAGTGGCGATACGATGCGTACTACCGCTCGGGCGCTCGTCAACATCCCTACAGCCTACTCCCGTATAACCTATGTTCGTTACCAATGTAACAAAATTGAAGCATAATTCTAAAAAATAGCTTAAATTTTTTAACAATTATTTCTTCCTATGAACTTCCGAATCAGAATGCTTTATTAGCCACAGTTTTTTTTATCAACTATGACTATTGATTTTTATTTTTAGATATTAAACAAAAAATTTCCTCATGGCCATGCACCCTCTGGGAGCTCGCGCCCATAGGCCCAGGCTTACCGAGCCTATTAAGAAATCCGGCCCTGTCTCCAGACTGTATTGCACTTTGTAAAAAGTACAAACACGATAAATAGTAATAATTTCAAAAATGCGCAGAGATAATAGGCCTATAAATCAACAACTCGATTCATTATAACCTAAATTTTTGTCGATTTTTCGATCGGCCGATTGAAAAATCGGCCAAAAATAAATCGCCTTTGATTTATGTCTAGGCGCACACGTGGCGATTTTTTAGTCGAGAAATGGATTTTTTTGAGTGTGTTTAAGCTATCCTAAAATGGACTTTGTTGAATTAACCTGTGTTGTGCTGTTCCAATTAGACCAAAGAAAAACGAAGACAACTTAAATATTGGGTTCATCCGATAGTAATAGGCCTAAGTGAGAGACTTTTAAATCAACAGTTTTATAAACTATACACTTTACGTGATGACAGTAAAAAGTTCTTTAATTACTATAGGCCTAGAATGTCTGCTGAAAGTTTTAGTTTTTATTAGAACAGCTGTGGCCTTTTTTAGCAAAGAAAACAACACAACTCACACTGAAGTTCACAGACTCCTGTGGAGAACAACAAGTGACTGGCCGATTTTTTAGTCGACCGTGTGCGCGGACTGATAACAATCTGTATGTTACAGATTTTCGGGCGACAATCGCCTCGCCTACGAATCTGTGGCAAAACCCAGATTTTAAAATCGGCACAATTCCTGATCGCCTGTGTCCCTGTGTGCGCGCTTCCATTCAAATACATGATGCACAGATCGGCCGATGAAATAGTCGCCTCAAAATAATCGCTCGTGTGCGCCTAGCCTAAGTTAAGTGACTAGGCCTATCCTACTTTGTGCATTCCTAGCCATTCAAAGGTAACAGAAATTTTGGAAGGCTTAAAGCTTAAATGTATAAGTACCGTAATAGACCAACTAAGTAAAGGGGGACAATGAATTTATTCTAAAGAACTTATGGGGCTACCTATATAATTTAGCCTAGGACTACCTAGAAGTTAACCGTTAACCTTTTACTATCAATACAACTTTAGTAGGGCCTATGCTATAAATAAAGAGTATAGGCCTACATCAACTAGGCCTATTCAATGATTTTGGTCGTAAGTTAACATGTTAAAAAAATTAAACTTACCAATAAAAGAGGAGAATATTCCATTACGAGTATACATAGACATATAATTTGAACAACATTCTTACGTCCTTTCCAATCTTACCAAGATAAGAGGTTTTTGACCGGATTACGATTTGGGTTTACGGAATCGGGAATACGGATGGATAGATAGTGATTTACTGATTTACAAGTTTGGAGTTTTTTTTTTGGTTAGGCCTACACCTACAATTTATTTTTTACAATTTGGTTATTTTCACTGAGCTATTTTATTTATTTCAATTCGTGATTCTTCTTCTCTGGCTGCATCTGCAGTCTGCGCATAAGCAAAGACAACTGAGCTATAATTATTTTAACTGGAGATAGCACTGAGTGTCAAGATTGCGTGCCGCCAGGCTGCCAAGATGCCAAAGGCGCTAATTTTTGTCCATGGTGGAAGGAAAAAACATTTTTGTCCGGCGGATGTCCGATCAAGCTTTTGCTATTGTTTGCTTGCTAATGTATATTGAATTATATTACAGTAATGTATTGTTTGTAAAATGGTGTTTGCCGTTGAGAATAAATAAATAAATCAATAAAGCTCGGCGTGAGGGTGGTTTGCAAGAAAGCGGACCTCGCGGTTATTTCTCTTAGGAAATGAGCTAGTTAGTTGTCAGTTTTAACCAACATGGACGTTGTAACTGTTGCTCTGATGCTGGAAAAAGAGTAGGAGGAAGAATCCATGTTACATGAAGGTTTTTTCGTATGGAACCACTGAGCTAAAATTGGAACCACACCCAATGTATGAAAAAAGGAAAGATGAGGGCTGCTTCAGGTACTTCAGGATTTTGATATCAAGATATTTGATGGACAGTGAAAGGAAACACACATATTTTGTAAAAAGGTGCAATCCGTTGGGAAATAAATAAATAAATAAATAAGGAAATTCCGTGATTATTTTAGGCTCAGTGGAGATCAGTAGAGAAACAGTGTTATAGCTCAAAACAAAATGAGGATCCTAAAGAGTCTTACACTTGTCCGCTCTGCGTGCACTGGCGTCATTTTCGGCGTGCCGCGCTCAGACACGGCTGCCTTTAAGTCCAGGCCGCGGCCTTTGAAGTGGCAACGTCGCAAGTGGTGTTGTAACAACTGTTTTGTTTGGAAGCAGCTAATTGTATTTGTGTATTTACGAAAGATTGGTTTATAGACTATGACAATATTGATTCTACTTAAAATGCACAGATATAGATTTTAAATTCATATTGTTTCGGTTTTCAATTCTGTATGTTTTATTTTCAATATTTTAATAATATTATGTTCATAAATTTAAATTTAAATCAATGAAGTGGGCGAATTAATGAGCTGATGTGCCCTGTCTGCCATGTTATCTTATGGGACGTCTGTCACTCAACAACACCACTTGCGACGTTGCCAATTCTACCAGGCCGCGGCCTGTAGTTAAAGGCGGCCGTGGCTCAGGACTCTGCCGGACAGATGGCGGGAAAACTATAAGTCTGTCGTGATCGCTGGCGCTTGGAAACCGCGCCCATATAAAAGCATGGCTTCAATTTAAACTTAATTACGTAATCACGCTTGGACACTCACGTTGTCCACCCGGCGTGGTCCTGGAAACCATAGCTTTACCGTGAGGCAGGAGTTGACGCGAAATTTAAACTTGCATAATGCATGCTAATAAATACCCGCACAACACAAGAATATCCTTGGGATGTCCTGGGGATATCCCAGTGGGATATGGGGATATCCTCTGTATATCCCGCAATGTCCTCAGGATCTGGGGAACTCCCTGGGATATCTCACCAGGATATTCCTGGGATATTCCACCAGGATATTATACATAAAAACACAAAATAATAAATATTTAGTCTGAAAAGCACTTTTACCAGTTAAGTATTTTAATTAAATAGCTCATAAAAACAAATTTTGGAATAGGAAGTCCCCAGGATATCCTCAAAATGCATTCGTTTGTGTTGGATATGTGCAATATCTTAGGAGTGATCCTAGGGACATTCTCAAATCCTTGGATCTATGTGGGATAATGTGGGAACTGGTCAGAATTCTGTGCTGTGTGAGAAAGCTGTATTCGGTAGCATATTTCGAGAAGTATTTGAGTTATCAGTGGATTTTACAAATAAATTATGAAAAAAGGATATCGTGGATATTCTAGGGATATGCCAAAGATATTCCTGTCCCTCAATCAAAAACCCTAAAAAAATTAAATTAATTATTGTAACGGGAATATAGCAGGGATATTCCTATGTCTCATGGGATATTGGGACGTTTTTGGAACTCTGTGGGATATCCTGAGGATATTCTGTGCTATGTGGGATATGGGCCAGTAGCTCATGTTCAACTTTCGAGTTCTTGCTTGGAAAATGCGTTTATTTTTATAAAATTTCTGTTCATACTAGCCTTTATTTATAATTGCCTGACATAGCCGACAATTCAGAGATACATGTAATTATCTACATGATAATTGCATTTCAACATCTGCATCGTGAGTAGGTTTTCATTGCTTATTCAGTTCTTGGACCTTGGACCCCAATATTCAATAGTTATTTGTGTAGGCCTAACTAGTGAGCTAAGAGGCACTTTGCTGCACACGAGAGCAACGTAGGCGAGTGCGGAATGATTTCGAGTGCAGTAAAGGCCTTTTGCACTCGTGTTACACATTACATTTTTCCTGCAGTCACTATAAAGCATATAAATAATTAGTCTTTCAAACACTATACATACAACACGTTTTTAGGTTCAGCTGGCAACACAAAAATAGGTACTCTATAGAGAAAGTAGTCCCCGGTCCGTATCACACCGCTATTTTTTCCTCGGCAAGCAATGTGCTCCGTGACTTGAGAAAATAGTTCCGTATATTTTTGTAATTTGCAGTGGTTTCCGCGCCTAAAAAAATGCTCTAAATGTATTTTCTTGTTTATTAAGATCGTATAGGAATGTTTTAAAAACTTTTAAAAGAAAAGTCCAGAAAGTTCAGAAATACCGAAAAGAGAAAAAAACATAAACTATAAACACGAAATGACAGGTTAAATCGTAATTATAATAGTCAATCAGCTGCTCATAGTATTATTTTCTTTAAGTGTTGCCAACCTATTTCCAAGCGTACACGGATTACGTGCATAATAGAACCACGCTGTTCTGTGTTGTTTCGTTGGAATCCTGATGTGCGCCAAAGTATAAACCGCACGTACGACAAAGTAAGGCGGTTTCACACTCACACTGGAATCCGCGGACGATTTCTTCGTCCGCGGACGGATGCAAAAATAAATCGCTGACCATGTTATCAGATGGGACCGTTCACACCGCCAATTGAAACGTAGCGTCCATCCGCGGATGCAGAAATTCGTCCGTGGACGATTTGGTGGAATCGCTCCCAGAGCGATTTTTCTAAAACGTCCGCGGACGATCACGCCCTCGCGCATGCGCAGACAGAGCACCAAACCACGTGTAGCTCTCAGCGAGGCATGTGTCACTCGCATCACAGTGTTTAGTAGTTTGTGTTTACAGCAAAGAAAATAGAACCTAAAGGTTTACAGTCATAGTGTTCATCTAGTTGTTGTTTTGTGTCCTCCCTTGTTGTTTGTTATGGCTGAATTAATTGAGGCTGCCCGTGCCTACCCAGTTATCTGGGATACAACTATAGAAATTTATAGGGATCAACAAGATAAAGATAAAGCGTGGTTGGAAATTGCGACTACACTCCAAAGAGATAGTAATTATCCCAACCAATAACCATGTATATTTATACGAATTACTGTACAGTAAATCATTATTACAATGATTTGTAAGGTATTAGCATTATTAGTAGCCTATATTACGTTACTAGTCCTGAAAGTAAGTGTTTCCCGGACAAGTGTGGATTACCATACGAGTCCTAAACACATTTTGCACGAGTTACGTACGATAGTTTACGCCATACTACTAAATCTGTCCAAATCCTTATATATTACCACTAAGTAAAATACTAAAAATCACTAGGCTAGTCATAATCTCTAGGAGAGGTTATGTTTTTGTTTATAACCACTCATTGCCAACCAAATACAGAATAATCAGCTGATTGGTGTCTGGTAAAACTCATTACAGTGCAGTAGTACGTAATAAACCCCCATTTGATTAAGCAGGCGGCCAACAGCTGTTTTCTGGACTCCTTGCGTGGGAAGTTCGTCAAATTAGTGTAGTGTGGTGTAATAATTATTTAAGGTAATGATAGTATAATGATTTACTGTAATTAAATTCAGTGAAACAAATTAATAATGTTAAAAAAATCTTTGAATATTGTATGAGTATTGATGTTTTGTAAGTAGTTAACTTCAAATCTATACAGAAGCAAAATTTCAAAATAGGCTTCTAAGCCAGAAGCTTCTAACCAGATATCCATCCCCTACAGCCGTAGGGGATGGATATTTTATGACACTTTGTATAAAATCTAAGAAATAAGAATAAGTCCATTTTGTGGAAAATAATGGTGTGTTATTATTGATTATACTACAATATTTATTTACAATATAGTACTACCTTTTTGGTTACTAATTATTAAGTAAGGCATCATAATGAGTACGGTTATAGCCCTGTATATTATAAATGATTATTTATGTACCATTTATATATTGGATTATTCCTTCCATTTCATTATTCCTTGTTGAATAACTAAAACTCATAACAATAATGGATTATAGAGGGGGTGTCTGTAAAGTCCTTCACCAAACTTCATAATATGGTTTATTGGGCAAAACTATGCAAAAAACGTTATGGGGTCAAATAAACATCATTGGGACAACAACATCATTGTAAACAATCTGTACCTATACAAATTTCAATAAATGTATTTGTTGATAAACAAACGTAAAGGTTTAAATAACAGCGGTTGATGAACACTGGCGTCTTTTGTACGTCTTTTTATCGAATTTCCCCTATAGGGAATAAGCTATTACCGTAGTACTCATGGTAAGACCTGGACCCGGGACCGATTTACTTTTTCGTTATGAGGTCCCTAGAGACCAAAAACACCATCCGTTCAAATTCATGTATATATTTATATATTTATTTATATATGTGTCCGTTAGCGCGATAACTCGAGCAAAAATCATCCGATTTTGATGAAATTTGGTACAAACGTGTAAACCTACGTTTATTCGAACGAGTTCGCGAACCAGCATGATCGGACTATGGGAACAGGGGTTTATGGGGGGTTTAA